ATATAATTGGATTCTTCTTCTCACTCTTTTTTTTTTGAGACAGAGTTTCGCTCTGTTGCCCAGGCTAGAGTACAATGGTGTGATGTCGGCTCACCACAACCTCCACCTCCCAAGTTCAAGCGATTCTCCTGCCTCAGGCACCCGAGTAGCTGGGATTACAGGCTTGCGCCACTATGCCTGGCTAATTGTGTATTTTCAGTAGAGACGGGGTTTCTCCATGTTGGTCAGGCTGGCCTTGAACTCCTGACCTTGTGATCCCCCCGCCTCAGCCTCCCAAAGTGCTGGGATTATAGGTATCAGCCACCATGCCCGGCCATGGATTCCTCTTCTCTTGATCTGATTCTTTCAAACATTCAATGACAGATTAAATCAGAATTTGTCAATATTGGCAATATTGACACTTTGGGACAGACAACTGTTGTAGGGGTTTGTCCTACTATTCACTATAGGATGTTTAACAATATCCGTGGCTTCTACCCACTAGATGCCAACAGCACTTCTCCATGTGTGACAATAAAAATGTCTCCAGACATTACCAGATGCCCTGGGAGTTGGGCAGTAGGGAATCATCCCCAGTTGATAACAACTGCTATAAACCCTCAATTCTCAAAATGGTTCCTTACCCTAAGGGTAAATTCCTATCAAACAAAGCTAGAATCAAGAGCATATTGTCAGAGTCTTTTCACATGATCCCTACCTTCTTGCTCTGTTGTTCCTTAGTGGACTGTTGGTTCAGAAGGCTCTCTATCTCCAGATCAACATCTGAGGCAGCATGTTTCCTTGATTTCTTGGCTGGCTCCTTTGCTGGTTCTGATGCTGAAGAGTTCAGACCAGAGGCTAATGAACTGGCAAAGGCAGCTACTGTAGCTGAGTCCTGTTCTGCACGCCGCTTCTGCCCTGTGACAGTCCCTGCTACGTCCCCAGGGCCCTTCTTTTCTGCCACAGCACCCATCATGGCAGAGAGCTTGGAATGGTCAGCATAGGTCACAAGAGTAGGATGTGCATCGTCTTGTAGGAGACCTCGCTTTACCTCAATCAACTCCTGAGCGGCAAACTTTTGTAGGAGGCTTTCTACCCCATCTTGAGTGGCAGGAGCATCTGGCTAGAGGAGGGGAAGTAGGGGCAATAAGACACTGACCATGAACTGAAAATAAGTGGTAAATCCTAACTCTATCGGGTCATTACCGTGGAGATGGCAAGACAGATGGACACAGCATCAGTAGGCAATGTTAAGGCCAGATCAGAGAGGTGGTGTAGCAACTTCTTCTCTAACTCAGGATCTGTAGCTAATTCGGGAACTGCTGAAGCTGTGCTGGGCTTAAGGCCACCAGAGGTGGGTGCGGTCGGCACTGGGCTGTCACTACGGAAGGTTGGAGACAATGCTGCTTCTGGATTCCGTAGATCTAAGAATGAAGAGAAGTGAAAATGAAAAAAGGCAACCACCTGCTGGTCTATATATTTCTGAGAAGTCAAATCTCTAGCATTCCCATACACAGACCTTTTATTTTGTGTAAGAAATTCTCTGACCAACTTTAGCACTAGATTATCCTCAACCATATTTAATCATTCACTGCCTTGCCAAGATAATACTAGGTTTTCTTTCTTTCTTTTCTTTTTTTTTAAAAGATGGGATTTTACCATATTGGCCAGGCTGGTCTTGAACTCCTGACCTCAGGTGATCCACCCACCTCAGCCTCCCAAAGTGCTAGGATTACAGGTGTGAGCCACTGCATCTGGCGATAATACTAGATTTTCTATCTACCTTTTCTCTGTTGGGTGGATAATGATTTCCTAATTTCCTATCCTTGCTGTGCTACAAAGGAAGTAAATTAGCGGCAAGATAGGTTTAAATAATCCCTATCACCTGTCAACCTACATTTAAATAAAAGCCAGAAATACACTCAACAACCTAGGCTGGGATCCAATATTCTTTTTGAGGCATATTGTGTGAATTTTAATGAATCCAGCCCATTGATGAACAAAGTATACAAAATGACAATGTTGGGGGCCAAGTGTCACCTATAACACTCACAAACACAAAACTCTTAATACTTTGCTGAAGTGGTTAGTAAATTATGTTTCCAGACTATATTATTATCAACTATTACTTCACAGCCATCATAACCTTAGTAAGATTTGAGAAACTAAAATAGGGACAAAATGTTACCTTTGAGAAAGCCTAATATCTGTGGTTATTTAACTAAAATATAGATGAAATATTAAACTTCTAGGACCTGAACTGAAATTACCAAGTAAAATAAGTAGGCCATTAGTTTATATTTAGAAATATTCTGTTTACTTAAATATTTCCACTCTGGCCAGGCATGGTGGCTCACAACTGTAATTCTAGCACTTTGGGAGGCTGAGGCAGTTGGATCACTTGAGGTGAGGAGTTTGAAACCAGCCTGACCAATATGGTGAAACCCCATCTCTACTAACATACAAAAAAAAAAAAATTAGCTGGGTGTGGTAGCACAAGCCACCATAGCTACTTGGGGAGGCTGAGGCAGAATTGCTTGAACCCAGGAGGTGGAGGTTGCAGTGAGCCAAGATCATGACACTGTACCCTAGACTTAGCAACAGAGCAAGAGTCTGTCTCAAAAACAAAACAAAACAAAATAAAAATATACATACACACACACACACACACACACACACACACACACACATTTGAAAAATTTCCACTCTAACGGAAACTGAATTTATTAAAATCTGATTCGGGGCTGGGTTTGGTGCCTTATACTCTGGGAGGCCAAGGTGGGAGGATCACTTGAGCCCAGGAGTTCCAGACCAGCCAGAGCAACATGGCAAAACCCAGTGTCTCTACAGTAAAGTTTTAAAAAATTAGCCTCACATGGGGGCCTGTGCCTGTAGTCCCAGCTACTGGGAAGGCTGAGGTAGGAGGATTCCCTGAGCCAAGGAGGCCAAGGCTGAAGTAAACTGTGATTGTGCCACTGCACTCCAGCCTGAATGACAGAGTGAGAACCCTGTTTCAAAAAAAAAAGGCCCGGTGTGGTGGCTCACGCCTGTAATCCCAACACTTTAGGAGGCCAAGGTGGGTGGATCACAAGGTCAGATTGAGACCATCCTGGCCAACATAGTGAAATCCTGTCTCTACTAAATATACAAAAATTAGGTGGGTGTGGCGGCTACTCAGTAGTCCCAGCTACTCAGAAGGCTGAAGCAAGAGAATCGCTTGAACTCAGGAGGCAGAGGTTGCAGCGAGCCTTGAGATCATATCTCTACACTCCAGCCTGGGCAAGAGTGAGATTCTGTCTCAAAAAAAAAAAATTGACTCAGAGGTTCCAAAGAAAACAGAGCTGAACTACACAAAATACCTTGTAATAGTTACATTTTATTAAAGTAAGTTATTGTGGAAAATGGACTCCATAATTCCATACTAGCTAGAAATGTTAGATCATTGTTAGAACTTTCTTCACCTTGCTTACTTCTTACAATCATGTTTGGCTGAATCTTGGATTTTAACTTTTACCTGCTGAATATAATTGTTTTGTCAAAGAGGTATTGTACACATGAAAGGGTCATGGAAGCACTTTGGTCTGTGTGAGAAAAAGTTTAAGAGTAATTGAACCAAGCTAAAAATATGTAAGAAATTTAAGTGATGATTACTATTTAGCTGATTTATAAGACTATAAACAAAATTCCTGCACTGAACAGGACTGAACAGATGGTGACTATTTTTTTTTTTTGAGACAGAGAATCTCACTCTGTTGCCCAGGTCGGAGTGCCGTGGGATGATCTCAGCTCACTGCAACCTCCGCCTCCCAGGCTCAAGCGATTCTCCTGCCTCAGACTCCCAAGTAGCTGGGATTACAGGCGCCCGCCACCATGCCTAGCTAATTTTTGTGTTTTTAATAGAGACAGGGTTTCACCATGTTGGCCGGGCAGGTCTTGAACTCTTGACCTTGTGATCTGCCCACCTCAGCCTCCCAAAGTGCTTGGATTACAGGCATGAGATGGTGATTATTAAAGTCCCTTGCAGCCTGGCACAGGGGCTCACACCTATAATCCCAGCACTTTGGGAGGCCGAGGCAGACGGATCACCTGAGGTCAGGAGTTTGAGACCAGCCTGACCAGCGTGGAGAAACCCCATCTTTACTAAAAATGCAAAAAATTAGCCAGGCATGGTGGTGCATGCCTGTAATCCTAGCTACTTGGGAGGCTGAGGCAGCAGAATCGCTTGAACCAGGAGGTAGAGGTTGCGGTGATCCGAAATCGTGCCACTATACTCCAGCCTGGGCAACAAGGGCAAAACTCCATCTCAATAAATAAATAAATAAATACACACACACACACACACACACACACACACACACACACACACGTGTGTGTGTGTGTGTGTGTGTGTGTGTGTGTATATATATATATAAATATATAAATATATATAAAATAAAAATGCCTATCTAACAAAGGTCTCCCAATATTTTGCCCATGGTATTTTCCACTATTAACGATATGGATATCTTTTAGTTCATTTTATATCCTTGTCTTTTGACATTGAGTTCAGTAGTCAATAATTACCAGATTACAGTAATGCTATAAAAAATAAGATGTAGGTGAGAAACAAATGGAATAATCTAAATTTTATCAAGCCTTGGGTTATATCTTACATGACAACATGATTAATAAATTTACAATAGAGTATGTTTCACAAGGGTTTCCTAAGAATCCTAAAGCTCAACAAAATACATTCTTTGAAATAATCAAATAACACAGAAAGAAGACTGACATTCTGATTTAATTTGTGTCTTTCATCTTTACCTATTACCACAGTACCAAATGATGGGTCGGATCAAGCTCTGGGTCAGAAGACAAGATACATTTAATTACAACCCCAAAAATACTTTTATAAGCATCTTAACTAGGCTTGGATTACACCTGTAATCCCAGTACTTTGGGAGGCCAAGGTGGGAGGATAGATTGAGCCCAAGAGTTCAAGACTAGCCTGGCAACAGGGTAAGACCCTGTTTCTACAAAAAAAAAATAATAATAAAAATTAAAAATTAGGGGCACTTGGGACTTCGGCATTACCCAAGATGGCGGCGGCCGCAGCGAGTCGAGGACTCGGGGCAAAGCTGGCCCTGCGAGAGATTCGCATCCACTTATGTCAGCGATCGCCCGGCAGCCAGGGCGTCAGGGACTTCATTGAGAAACGCTATGTGGAGCTGAAGAAGGCGAATCCCGACCTACCCATTCTAATCCGCGAGTGCTCGGATGTGCAGCCCAAACTCTGGGCCCGCTACGGTGAGTGCGAGACACCAGGGGTATGGGGCTCCGGTAGGGGAACAAGGGTTTGAGAGGAGAAGGGACTGCCCAAGGTCGTGCGGAACCCCGTGGAGAAACTAGAACGCCGACTTAGCCTTGCTGTTCATCTTGTTGCCATGAAGAAATTTATATTCTCAGGGTTATATGATGCCTTGTATCCCAGGCAACATAAGTATGTAGGCTGACCGAGTCCTGCGTAGGGACCAAGAACTGACGTTTCTGTAGCTGAGAATGGGTTTCTGATAGTAGAGAAGCTAGTCAATATAGTTTCGTTCAAATAACTTGTAGTCATTGTCAGTCCAGATAGTGTGAGAATCTCAGTAATTTTTAGCACTTAGAACTGGGCCCTGTGCTGAGTGCTTCCCTGCCTAACTCATTAATCTCTCTTCATCTTTTTTTTTTTTGAGACGTAGTCTTGCTCTGTCGTCAGGCTGGAATGCAGTGGCACGATCTCGGCGCACTGCAACATCCGACTCCCTGATTCAAGCTATTCTCCTGCCTTAGCCTCCCAAGTAACTGGGATTACAGGCACGGGCCACGAGGCCCAGCTAATTTTTGTATTTTTAGTAGAGACGGGATTTCACCATGTTGGCCAGGATGGTCTCCTGACCTCGTGATCCCCCTGCGTCCGCCTCCCAAAATGCTGGGATTACAGGTGCGAGCCACCGGGCCCAGCCTCATTTAATCTTCATTTGTCATGAGGAAGCGTGTTCTTCTCATTGTAGAGATTAGAAAAAAAATGGAATCAAAACCTTGTGGAACCTATCTAAAGTAATGCAGCTAGGATATAACAGGATTGAGCCTTTACATTTATTCCCCTTTTCTAGAATGCATTTACCTCTCTAAGACTGGCATGGCTGGCTCCTTATTCAGGTTATTATTCTGGTCATTTATGTTACTGTTTCTAGCTCCTTTTTATATTACCCTATTCCAATATATTGCAAAATGAAATTTTCCTATCATGTTGCCTAACACATTGTAGGTATGCAATAAATATTTATACATACTGAATAACAGGATTTTAATCACAGCTTTTAACTATATGGTGCCCTGGAAATGTCAGGGGGAAGGTGGAGGAGACTGACCACCTTAAGCAGATTGGTTCCTACAGTAGACATCTGTAGGATGCCATGCATTAATAATTGGAGGAGGAAAAAAAGCTCCTCCCAAAAGACAGTAGACTACAAGAGGAGATAGACACGAGTAACTTCAGTGTATTGTGCTCGGTATTATGTGAGCTAGCACATGGGCCCCTAGGGAATGGGCACCCCATGCAATACACTGCTCACAGTAGTTAACTATAAATGCCTATAGTGCCCCCTAAAGCTTCCCTGAAACAACCCATTGTGGCTATCCAGAATCAGCCAAAATCCTATTTACTTGGGCTTCCTAGATGTGTTTGAGACCCACTGTATTAATTCTAGGCATACCAAATGTACTCTTCCCATCTTAACAAGATTGTAAGATAAAGACCTTTTATTTTACTTTGGTAGCCTCCACGGTGCAGAATAGATACTTAGACACCTCCCTCTCTCTCCTCAGCATTTGGCCAAGAGAAGAATGTCTCTTTGAACAACTTCAGTGCTGATGAGGTAACCAGAGCCCTGGAGAATGTGCTAAGTGGTAAAGCCTGAAACCTCCACCGAGGATTAAGGGCAACAGCCCCAGAGCCTGGGCTCTGATGGACTTAGTGTAATGTGAAAAAAAATGTGTTCTCTTATTCCATATAAAGCTTGTGCTGTAAAATAAAAAAATTAAAAAAAAAAAATTAAAAATTAGGCGGGCATTGTGGCACACAACTGTGGTGCTAGCTACTCAGGAGGAGGCTGAGGCCAGAGGATCGCTTGAGCCCTGAGGTCAAGACTGCCGTGAGCTGTGTTCATGCCACTGAATTCCAGCCTGGGTAACAGAGCGAGATTCTACACACACACACACACGCACAAACACACAATCAAGAGCGGTTGCTTACACCTGTAATTCCAGCACTTTGGAAGGCCAACGTGGGTGGATCATGAGATCAGGGGTTCAAGACCAGCCTGGCCAAGACAGTGAAACCCAGTCTCTACTAAAAATACAAAAATTAGCCAGGTGTGGTGGTGGATGCCTGTAATCCCAGCTATTCAGGAAGCTGTGGCAGAGAGTTGCTTGAACCCGGGAGGCAGAGGCTGCAGTGAGCCAAGATTACGCCAGTACACTCCAGCCTGGGCAACCCAGCAAGAGACTGCCAAAAAAAAAAAAAAAAAAGTATCTTAGCTATATTATATTAGCTAGTTATTCAAACAGGGAGAATATAGACTTATTGTCAAATATATTAAACATGTTTAGCAAGGATCTTGATGAAAGCATCAAGGCTCTAGTAGTTAGGTCTGCATACAGCACAAAGTTTGGTTAATACAAAAATGTTGTTAGTATTAGGGAAAAATGAAATGAAACTTAAAATGACCAACAGCAATTAGAATCACCCATTGAAAGAGTATGAATTTAGAAATGGAAAAGTATAAAGAACTATGATGAGGAACAATTAAAACCAAAAAACAACAAACACCACCACAGATAGAGGATGGCCTATCACCAAAACGACAGAAAGATGAACACAAAGTAGTCAATCATATAATACACTGATATAGTGGCTTTTCAAAAGTTAATTTTGTAGGCCAGGCATGATGGCTCATGCCTGTAATCCCAGGACTTTGGGAAGCTGAAGCAAGTGGATTGTTTGAGCTCAGGACTTAAGAGACCAGCCTGGGCAACATGGTGAAATCCCCTCTCTACCAAAAATACAAAAATTAGCTGGGCATGGTAGCACATACCTGTGGTCCCAGCCACTTTGGAGGCTGAGGTGGGAGGATCACTGGAGCCCGGGAAGTCCAGGCTGCAGTAGGCCATGATCATGCCACAGCACTCCAGCCTGGGTGACAGAGGAAGACCCTGTCTCTGACTAAATAAATAAATAAGTTAATTTTGCAGATCACTTTGCTGAAACAACCAACTACTGAATCCTCAGATCTCCTTTTCCAACTGCCATTGCTGAAGGGGAAAGATTCCACAGGAAAATTAAATAGGCTGGATATGGTGGCTCTCACCTGTAACTCAAACACTTTGGGACGCTGAGGCAAGAGGACAGCTTGAGCCCAGGAGTTCAAGACAAGCTTGGGTAACATAGTGAGACCTCATCTCTATTAAAAATTTAAAAATTAGCCAGGCATGGTGGCATGCACCTGTAGTCCTAGCTACTCAGGAGGATGAGGCAGGAGGACTGCTTGAGCCCAGAAGTTAAAGGCTGCAGTGAGGGGCTCCTACCATCACACTCCAGCCTGGGCAACCATGATAGACTCTGTCTCAAAAACAAAAAAAGTCACTGGCGTCATTTACACACATTTTTAAAAAGTTTCGAAATGGGAAACCAAAGAATAGGGGAAAAACAAAACAAAAAATTGTATCTATAAAGAAATCAGGCCAGGCACGGTGGCTCACACCTGTAATCCCAGCACTTTGAGCGGATCACCTGAGGTTGGGAGTTCAAGACCAGCCTGACCAACATGGAGTAACCCCATCTCTACTAAAAATATAAAATTAGCCAGGTGTGGTGGTAGTAGTATGCTAGCTACTCAGGAGGCTGAGGCAGGAAAATTGCTTTAACCCGGGAGACAGAGACTGCAGTGAGCTGAAATCATGCCATTGAACTCCAGCCTGGGCAACAAGAGCAAAACTCCATCTCAAAAACAAAACAAAACAAATCAGTGAAGTTTATAAAGCAAGAAGAAAAAATTACCCCTCTTAGGGTAATTCAGGAACTACTCCAAGGCTTGACTACTAATTATTGGCTGATGATATGACTTGCACTTCCTACTCTACTACCTTTCCCCCTTACCTCTGTAATTATCTAGGTCCAACATATCCATAAAGGCCAAATTCAAATGCCATTTCCACTATGATGGCTTTGATGGCTTCACTACCTACACCAGCTCAGTTACTTCTCTTCACTGTGCAGACTGTAGATTCATTCATTTAATTTCATATATATATATATATATATACACACACACACACATATATCCTATCACATTCCTGACTTTTTGTAAGCATCTACCCTTGAAACCTATGCTTTGTAAACTAAAGGACAGGGGCAATTTCTTACTTATTTTTGTCTAATTAGACCCATGTATACTGTCGATACTCAAGAAAGGATACTTAATTATGGGAGGATCCCGCCAGTGCACTTTCTAGTTCTAGGGGTGAGAATATGAGCACTTGAACCTAACATGACTGAGACAAGATTGAGAGATGGAGTTCAAGATACTGGCAAATATTGGAACAATCTGCCACAAAGGTGATATTGAAGTCACTATTTTTGCAGAGCTTTGTTACTAGTTTGCCTTAAATAATTCAGAGTTTGTGGTGGGGGTAGGGAGTGGACAAGAGTTAACTTAACCATCTTTCAAATTTCCTTCAAAGTTTTATGATTGTGACATAGGGCAAAAGGAGGAGAGAAAAAGTTTAGAAACCAAACACAAATGTTTTCAGATTTGCTTGTAAATGGCTAAGTCAATGCCGGTAGGGGTTCGACTCATTCAGAAACACGGAGTGCCACTTTGTACGGGCCACTAAACTGGTAACTGTGGATATGAAGGTTCATTCCTTGCTCACTGTGCCCACAGCTGCAAAGAAATGACCACTACAAAGCAGTCGTTATAATTGAGGGAACAAAGCGCCATAGCAGCAACAAAAAAGGGGTCTTGCTGTTTCGCAGGATAGGGGGCTGAGAGGCCTCACAAAGGAGACGTCCTCGCAGTCTGAAGAGGAGTGGGCAAGGCGGACGAGGGTGGGGCTCAAGCGTCCGTCCGGTAAAAGTGAGCTGGCAGAACCGAGGCCCAGGGTGAGGAGGAACCGCGAACTACCTGCAGAAGTGCGAAGGTCTGTGCTGCTGAAGGGGAGAAGGGAGTAACCCCATGTACGAGGCTTTATAGAAATAGCCGCTTGGTAAAGGACACTGACTCTGGAGCTTTTTCTCTAGGGATCCCTCCCATACTCCCCGGTTGAGCCTCGACCCCAACAGCCCCATGCCTCACCCAAGTGCCCCGAGTCCTGCTTCCGCCTCCGCTGCAGCCTTTCCCGCAGAGAGTCCAGCTGCTTCTTGTGGGCCTGGATAGAGCTCCACGTGTCCGACATCCTAGTCTCCCAGCCCTCACGCCTCTCGAATAAGGCGCCCGGGACTAGCACCTCCCAGCACTCGCTCCAGGATATAACCAATTCTCACACGGGAACCCGAAGGCTAACCGGAAAATGACCCCTAGAGATGGGCAAGACCGAAAAGTCATTTCCGGTGTCGCGCTTTCTTGGAAGCTATAAAGAGAGCCACGTTAGGTGTTGGCAGAGCGGCCGGTATAGTCCTTATACCCGCTCTCTCATGCTTCCAGGCACAGTGAGGCTGTGGTTGCCATGTTGGTGACTGGCAGAGCGGCCATATTGCTTACAGATGCGCATGCGGCCATGTTGAATATTCGGAGGGGAATTCTGAGAGTTGACCCATGTTAAAATAGCACTCGTAGAGAGCAACACCATGTAGTACAGATTTTTTTTTTTTTTGAGACGGAGTTTCGCTCTTGTTGCCCAGGCTGAAGTACAATGGCGCGATCTCGGCTCTCCGCAACCTCCGTCTCCCGGGTTCAAGCGATTCTTCTCTCTCAGCTTCCCGAGTAGTTGGGATTACAGGCATATACCACCACGCCCGGCTAATTTTTTGTATTTTTAGTAGAGACGGGGTTTCTCCGTGTTGGTCAGGCTGGTCTCGAACTCCAGCCTTAGGTGATCCGCCCGCTTCGGCCTCCCAAAGTGCTGGGATTACGGGCGTGAGCCACAGCTCTCTGCTGTACAGAATTTTAAGATGAAGGATCACTTGTTCCTTTTGACAGTTTGGTACTAACATACCTTTGCCACTGAAGACATGATTTGTTTCCATTGCTTCATTTACAAAAAAACAGCGGTGGTCCCCAGTCTGAGGTGTGGGGCCGTTAGGGGGTGTGCGAATGCTTCTTTGTGTGCGGGAGAGGCGTGGGGTAGTGAGGAGGGCTGATGAAGGAAAAATGCTAGAGGTCTTGAAATACGTGATCTCTCTCTTAGGCTAAATTTACAAAGTACGTATAATCGATTAAAATAGAGTTCTGACATTAAGAGGGCTTTGAGGTCCTGGTTGCGTTGTGTTTTTTGTTATGAGAGCTACTTTCATGAGTGTGTTCAGTTTGTGAAATGTAATTGAGCTGAACATTTTGGTATGTGCACCTTGTGTAGTAAACTTAAATACAAGGGTTTGTTTTTTTTTTTTCCCCCTACAATCCTTTTTTTTCTTTCTTTTTTTGACACAGTTTCATTCGTGTCGCCCAGGCTGGAGTGCAGTGGTGTGATCTCAGCTGACGGCAACCTCTACCTCTCTACCTCCCAAGTTCAAGCTATTCTGCCTCGCCCTACCCGGTAGCAGGGATTACAGTCACCCACAACTATACTCAGTTAATTTTGTGTTTTTAGTAGAGATGGGATTTCATTCACCATATTGGCCAGGCTGGTCTCAAACTCCTGACTTCATGATCTGCCCTCCTTAGCCTCCCAAAGTGCTGGGATTACAAATGTGAGCTACTGTGCCTGGCCGTTTATTTTTATTTTGAGACGTGAGCCACTAATCCCAGCTTTCTCTTTCTTTTTTTTTTTTTGGCACCGAGTTTCGCTCTTGTTACCCAGGCTGGAGTGCAATGGCCCGATC